AAAAAAAAAAACATAAGAACCAAAAAGAAAAAAATAAATAACAACAAAAGCGAAAACAACTGGAAGAATGTTGACTTAACAAAAGATTTTTTATGCTTTTACTTTTTTGTACTAAATTTTTGTATAATACTTCAATGAAAACGTCACAGCAAAGAAGAAAAGATGAAGTTTCTAAAATAAATATTCTAAGACGGTTGTTTATGGCTAACTTATTCCAAAATTAACTATTTTTTTGCATAACTTTTTGTGTGACAGAAACAGTAAAAGTATTCAGATATTATTCATTCAGGCATTCTGAGTTTTCTTTCAACACTTCCTTCCTCGTCAGAAACACTCGAAACACAAACTTGTGAATGAATTGCTAAATTCAGCAGAAGAAAATGATTTGAATAACATGTATTACATGTTACAGAAAAGAATGATAAAAACAATGCTTACAGTTTATTGATAATAACGTCGTTTATTATTTTTATTCGAGTTTAGAGATGCCAATAAACAGAAAGATGAAGCAAATAATGGCAAAGAAAAAAAGCACAAAATACCTTCCTGAAATCAAAATTTTTTCTGCATTAAATGTGGTATTTTTCTCAGTTTTGTTGATAAAAATTACTGTTTTTCAAATTTCTGAAGAGTGAAAAATAGAATAAAGTATCATAGAGCTGATAATTGCTGTGACAGCAGTTGTGCGGTTGACGAAACATTTTTGATTAAACTAAGCAACAGTTCCTAGATTTCATTAATCAACCTCTCTGCTAACAGTAAATAAGTATGACGTGTGTTTCAGTTCTCAACATAACTGCATATGTTATAAAAAACGTATTAAGCGTAAAATCTTTATGCCAAAGATTACAAAACAGCTTGAGTTATACTTCACAAAGCTACACAAATAATCCTCAAAAATAAAATTGGAAATAGACAGAATGCCTAAATAATTTATTTAACTTTCTAATACAACGTTTAGATTTTTATCAAAATTGAATGTTTTGAACAGTAGCTTTTAAAAAACTTTGTAAATTGCAATATCAGAGTAGTTACTATTCAGCAGCCATTTTATCAGTATTTAATTCTTTTAACTGTTAGTTTGCTTTCCTGGTAAACTTGATACCTTTATTTTTACAATTAAGGCTAAATAAGAACTTGAATTTTCAACGTTCAAAATGTTAAAGCCACTTTTGTACGAAACTAAAATCTTTGCAAGGTTTTTACCTTTAAATTTTTTAATTTAGAAGAAACATTTAAGGCTGAATCTTCAAAAGAAGCCTCTTACTCAGTTTTAACAAGCAGGTGAACAACTACTTGGTATTTATGATTATGGTAGATTATCAAAGTAGATTACGATCAGCAACTGGTCAAAATAGTTGTCTTTCTTTATATTAAAGAAATTTATAAACTTCTAATTCTCAATTTTTTGCAGTAAGTTATAACATTTTTGTAAGCGTTAGCTGATTAACCACAGAATATTTATTAAAAACCTTGTTCTGCTGTATTC